CTGACAGATTCACATCATGTACCACCAATTGATTTCAGGAGTGCTTGCTTGCAAGAGAGTACTCAAGTTCTATGGATACGTCTATGCAAAAAAAGAGAGATTGTGCTCAGGGCTGAGCACATAGTGTGATGTAAGAGTACCAAAGAAGATGTACAGACAACAAAATTGTACAATGCATACCTGAAGCTTGTTTTCATAGAATTGGGCCTTTTCGATCGTTAAGCACACACCTCATAAGTGTCCCTTTAGCATACATGTTCGCTGCATACTCAGCAGACTGGTCATTACCTGCGACGAGAAATTCTAGCTGTGGTAACTGTGTAACTTAACTCTAACAATAAATGTAGATAGCCTGAAATATTTTCAGGCCCCCTAAATACATAATATCTGTAATATGGGCTCACGGCTGAGTATTAAAACTAGTGCCTACCCTCTCGACACGACGGGACATTGCAGCATTGTGAAGTACTCAATGTAGCATTGCAGAGCGAGAATGATTCAGAAATGCACGCATCCACAATTGCTTATTTAACAAATTTAGCAAAACTACATTTCTCTAACTGCGCGAGCTATCTATCCGCAATGTGCAGGTTTTCTTCTCGATTCTACATCACGCATTCGCTTCAAGATCAACCCTACGGGGCAAGCGCCGCATCTGACGGCAGAATCGGACCCTTGTCCTGAAGCCACGCTATTAAACTCGAGCGCCGCAACACAATGAGAGCGACGTTCATTCAGTGATTTAGAATTTCGATCTTCAGTTATATGCATATGCTTGTTAGCTTTCAAGAGTCTTTACACATGGGTTGAAAGCTTTCGATATGTATGAGTGACTTGTTTTGTTCGGACCCGACCGTATACATTGATTGTACCGGCTTGGACACTCGCAATAAACGATGCAAACCTTACTTGATTGACGTTGTTTTTGCAATCGAGGCCAGCTAGGTCCCCTGGCTATAACTACAGATGCGAAACGCGATCGAGCAACGAAAAAAAAAAACAGAGGAAATGAGCAGCGCGAACCAGCCGCAGGCTCCCCCCTCCCCCACCTGCAACAAAAAAAAATGCGTCTGCTTATTGATGATGATAGTACTACTAGCGCCATCTCGCCTCGCGGTATTGCAGTTCAGTGCGCCGCCGCTACGTTTTTGCATACAAAAGCCCAAAGGTACAGTTTCCGTTCTCTAAACTGGTAGGTGTTCTGTGGTAACACTACATGTGTAGTAGTAGTCACATTTTTGTCTGTGGCCCGCGCATTGTCGGCGCCATGCCCTCGTTCTGTCTCTCTCCTGCGAGGGCACGCATGCAATCTTTCTCCTCCGCCAAGCTCAGGCCACGACCTTCTGTACTCCTAACCTGCCCAGCCGGCGGAGGTCTACGGAGCTGCCTGCGCCGGCTCGGATGCCGAACTTCGCCGCATAGGGGGGCTCGAGTTACCCCAGCTTAGCGCCGGTGGATGCATAAAAATGCATGGGTTGCCGCCGGTTTGAGAAGAGTTTCATCACGGTTTGAGTAAATGTGACGGGAATCTTGAATCATTTTATTTTATGTGACTTTGAGAATCTTATTTTGCATTTTACATGACATTTCGGAGCATTATTTTTCAATTGGAACCACAAATAAGATACAAAAACATGGATCATCGTGCAAAACAAGAAAGAACGATGGCAGAGACAGGTTGTAAAAAGTGCTGGCCCTCTAAATGTTTATTTAACTAATAATACCGTCTGTACGGGTATACGATGGTAGACTTGTTGCCGCACACTCAGCTGGATTGAATTTACTATCTGGACGAGAAAGTGCAAGGACTATGACATTTGACATTGGCCGCGGCATCCAGCGCGCATAAAAAACAACCCAATACAGACAATTTTGCGCATAAATACCTTCGTCTCAAATGGCAAATATAGATCGCAGGTACATGAATAATCAATAAAAAACACTCTGCAACTGTTTTGAAACGAAACAGCAAACAACAACAGCAAACAACTTTACCTGCAAGACTGCAGCGTTTGCTCTTTTGGAGAGAAGATTAGCCTCTGCAACTTCACGGTTCAGCTTGGCTATTTGCGCTTTTAATTCAGCATTATTCCTTGCCATGGTTTGGCATACCCGGTGCGATGATTTTGCGGAAGTCATCACACGGCGCATCTTCCGGCTGGTTATAGTTGTTTGCGTGGTCAATGAGCGTCGGTCGATCTTCTTTTTTTTTTACTTTGTCACCAGGTGCAGTTTCAGGTGGTTCTGTCAGCGCCTCCTAGAATTATCAAGGCCCATTCACTCACTTCGTTTCCTTGTCTGACGTCAGCACACCTAGCCCGATGAACTGGTGGGCATCGTGAGAACCGGTTGGGGGATGCAGGCTCAGTGACTCCCTTCGTTAGGGCGAGCCTGTTAGAACTTGTTTGACCCTGGCAAAGCGAGGTGCTACGCTGCACAAGAATTTTGAAATAGTGCTGGTGGACGTTCTTCGGAGATATGTGCAAGTTGTGGCCCTGGCTGTGTTATTTGGAGTCCAAGCAGTGAAGTTTGTTCGCGTGAAATTTCCAGGAAGTTCACAGGATGGGCCCCTGCTGCGTGCCGAACTGTCGCGGAAATTATGATGGTGGACCGAAGGTCCGCTTGTTCTCCTTCCCTAAAGACGACCGCAGGATAAAATGGAAACGCGCTATTCGTCGCAAGGATGTCGACATCGACACTCTGCGTGATCCGAAGGTAAGAATTTAAAATTTTTACCGATAAACCTTCACATAAAGCGAATTCTGTGTCGCAGATATGTGCTAGTGCAGTGCATTACTGAGCAGCGTTACTCTAGATCTCAATACTTGCTAATTATAACGTTCTAGAACATAATCAGGCAGAAAAACATATATAAAATGTTGTTAAAATATTTTAAAACATTCTTTTTGCTTGTGCATACCACAGGTCTGCGAACTTCATTTCAAAGCAAAATATTTGAGGACTACCACCACTTACACGAATAGCAACGGAAAAACAATAGAAGTTCCAATGAGCCTTACTCGACTATAACTGAAGATGCAGTGCCGACGATGTTTCCGAACAGCCCTGCTTACCTATCCTACTGTTCCCGTTCGCAAGGAGCCTGACGCAAAACGGAAGCACCATTAGGCAGACCAGCTACGAAAGGGCATTCAGATGTCGCTTGTTTCGCACGAAGAGGAGGAACGCAAGAATAGAGTGGCATCTTTTGAGCAGCTCATGTCACAACTCTCACAACTTAAGTTGTCCGACTATTGGATAGTGAGCAGCACGGAAGCTGCAGTTATGTTTCTGCATATTCAGAGTAACACACTACCTCCAGAGGTGGAACGTTCTGTGGTTGTTTCCGATGAATTGCACATTTCTGCCCACTGAAAAAAGATGAAGCTGCACATTGCTGATGTTCCCATTCCTGAAAAACTAGAAGACATTCGGAGCTTGCACACTATTCTTGAAAGTGTGGAGCATTTCAATGCTCCGGACGTCTGCGAAAAAGAAGAAAAATTGAAAGCCTGCTTCCACATTATTTTTTCTATTCTTGATGACCTGCCTGATGGTGACCTCCTACCAGAAGAAAAAGTAGAAGCGTTCGAGTTTCTGAAGGAACAGTTGCGCCTTCTACTTAAAGAGCGAGGAGCTATGAGATAGTCTTCAGATCTTCTTATATTAGCTAGCATTTTTCATACGATCTCTCCTCACGCATACAAATTCGTTCGCAACACTGGGAAATTAATGTTACCTCATCCTTCCACAATATTAAGGCTGTGCAGCAAGTACAATGCAAGTCCTGCAAACAAACAAAGCGATGAAGGCTTTTTGCAGTACATTACAAAAAAAGTGAGTCTTCTAAAGCCGCACGAAAGAGTCGTAACGCTCATGATAGATGAAATTTACATCCAGCAATATTTTGAGTATAAGGGTGGCTCATTAACAGGGACGGCATCGAATTCCTCTGAAGAGGCAAAAACAGCACACGTGTTCATGACAAATTTATTGCTTTCTGTGCACAAAGATGTGGCACACATCCTTCCTGTTTTCAGCATTGAAGCCAGCCCATTTGCACGACATCCTGAAAAAGTAATTTTGGGTCTTGAAAAAGCGGGACTTACAGTAATTGCCGTTATCACTGATAACAACGCTGTGAACCGAAAAGTAATGTCATTTTTTTTCAAAAAACAACACAATAGACATTGTGTACCCACATCCAGCAGACAATTCAAGGCTGCTATTTTTGGTTGTCGGTACCGTGCATTTATTAAAGTGCATCCGTAACAACTGGTTGAACCAGAAAAATGAAGGCTCTTCCATTTTTATCCCAAATTTTCAAGTACATCACAGGTGCAAGTGAAGAAAGCAACATTTGAGACACTTCGTGAACTGTACGTTTTCGAGCAACACAATCTCTCGAAGCTTGGATACGGACTTACTTATAAGGCTTTGAACCCCTCTAACATCGAAAGACAAAACGTGAAGCTAGCACTGAAAGTGATCAGTCCATTTATTGCAGAAGCACTAAAACTTATGGTGCAAAGCTTGGTTTAAGTTGTGCCCGAAAAACTGCTGAATTTATTGAATTAATACACAAGTGGTGGTGCGTTGTGAACACTAAAACACCATCAAAAGGCAAGCACCTAAGAAATCCTCTTCAAGCACCCGTAGGAAGTATGGAGGACATGCAGCTGCAGTTTTTTATTGCATTTGTAGACTGGCTTGACACTTGGGAAAACTTGAAGATTGGCCCTGGCCGTGCAGGACTGTTAACCACGGAGACGCACTCCGCGCTACGTCTGACCTGGTACTCCTTGATTGAAGTCAGTCGGTATTGCCTGGAGGAGGTAGGTTTTGAATATGTCTCGCTTGCAAAGTTTCAGACAGACAGCCTCGAGGAAAGGTTTGGTCGTTACCGTCGGCTATGTGAATCCAACTACCACATTTCCGTCCAACAAATATTTGAATAAGAAGCAAAACTGAGGCTTCAGAACTCGCTGGTTATTCAAGATATGAAAGAACTGTCCCAACCTAGCAGTATTGTGTTTGATGCAGCCAAGGTGATAGAAGAATATGGCGTCAAGTTGACTGAAGAGGACGTGAAATCAAAAAAGGAAAGCTTGCCTGCAATAGTGTATATTGCAGGTTACTGCGCCCACGCCGCTCTCAGGAAAATTCTCTGTGAAGATTGTGCGGCCAACATCACGAGACAAGATAGGTATATACCAATGGTTGATGATATGCTAATCGAAGGCCTCACAAGAGGGGCCCTGAAATTTCTCCAACCAGTAGTAATAAGTGCTGTTCTGCACACACAAGTCGTGCTTACAAAGCTGACCTCGAAAGAGAACACCGCCCGGTTTCATGCAGCACGGCACCAAAGGCAGCTTCTTCTCAGTGTGGTGAAGCACCTTTTAATTGACAATGAAGATTTGGACATTTGTTGCAAAGGACACCATCCAGAAACAGTGCTTCACAACATCTTGTGGGCAGCCACCAACACCTTACTGAAAAACTACGTCCAAATGAAAACCGACTAGTTAACGGCGGCAAAGAAGGGTGCAACACTGAAGAGGAAACTGAAAATGCTCAATTAATCTACCTCCAACGTCTTGAAGATTCACGTTAGAATAAATAAATGATGTAGTCTCCATGAAATATATTGGATCGTAGTTTATTTCTTTTTATTCAAGGAAATCGAAATGCACCATACCATATTCTGGCACACTTCTCACGCTACGGCCTTCGGGCACAATAATCAAAGCTTCTTTTAGCATGTCTTAGTTTGACATAACTTGCCCTCAAATTTATATCTGCACGCTTGGCAGAAAAGTACATATATGCGATTATCGCTCTGCGACTTGTGGAAGGCCACCCCACAGACATCCAGTGCATGGAAGTTAGTAGAGCCTGAACGGCTAGCAGACAAACTTTTTCACGAAGTGTGGCCCACTCGGGCAAGGCGCGTGACGTCACGGAGGGAGTGCGCAGGCCTTAACCTGTTCTAGGTGGCTTTGGTTCTGTGCGTTCAAATTCGGTGAGAGGGTGCATAAAGTCTGAGGATGGTCCCGAAGTTGTGTTTGCAGATGGTACTGATGACATATGTCGCTCGATGTCAAGATCTGCTGCGCGCCGGGGCTGAACCTGTTTTCTTCCTTCATTGAAAAATTGTGTTCTGTTATACGCCTTTCCTTGAAATTAGTTTTCATTGGTACAATTCGTATGCAAGAGCCATGGGGAGACGTCAAGCATTAAACATTGTTAGTAACTTTTTTTCTTTGGGTAGGGTCTATGTTCCTGAACATTTGAGCGTTTCAAGGTGCGGCGGACTTTTGCCACGGGCGGCACCATGTACTTTGGATAGTGTGGAAACACTGACGGCACAGCATTCACTTTCAGTCTTTGTATCTTTAGTCCCGGCTTATAGTCGGTTGGAGCAAAGCGCACACTGCACACCTTCGACCTGTCATTTAGGAGCCAAACTTCATTGCCAGCACTTTGAAAGGAAGAAGATGAACATTCAGTGAAATATTGTGAATAAAATACCAAATTTCTTGTTATTTTCTAAGGAGTATATCATGCAATTAGAAGTTTATACCATGGTGGCGAAGTGAATAAAACACAGTTATGAAGTGGGCGTATGACTTCACCTCGTTAACCATGTGACACACGTAACTGGCTGAGATACATTAGCACTAAATAAAACGGATGACCACAAGAAAGAAGACAAGGACACACGCTACTCACAACTTTTCATTAGGAGAAAAGTTTCCACGTATACGTCCTTTGGTCATGCATGTGCATAGACGGGTAAACTAACACGTTTTTATCACACGCGGTAGCACATAAATTCAAGTTCGAGGTCGAACTAATTAAGCGACAGAGGATTAATATTCACTTATGCAACGATCTCTGCTCTTTTTGGTAATGTAATTAAACTACCAAAGCAATCTCGAAGAAGCTGCTTCTTCCCACAATGGATGTGTTTGAAAACCTAGTTGTATAACCACATGTAGTGACATGGCTCCCATATGTGCACTCTTGTCATCTTTTCTTTTTTTGCCAATAAAAAGTTGTGAGTATAGCACGTCGTCATTTACTTTCTTGAGGTTATTGATTTATTTTTTTGCGCTAATATGCGTTTCAGTCTGTCATGCACCACCAACCAGCCCAGCAACTCACTCTTTTAATGACACGTAGTCATTTGCAACCCATATTACCCATGTATTATTATTATATATATATTATCCATATATATATATTACCCATATTACCCAACCCATATAGCATGCCAGACAACAGCCAATTACCCTTTCTAGAAATCACCTTGATCCATTTTTCACCAACCTTGATCACTGGAAACTCATGAAAAGTCACATCAGAAGTCTTCTCTTTCCTTGATTCGCAGAAAGGCACGCAGCATACACCATCGTGATGGTTCATTTGCACCAAGAAACCTCGCTTCGCTGGTGTACAAACTGCACTACCTGCACGCTTCTATCGCAGCTCGGCACGAGGAGACGGTAGCAAAAGATCGTCATTATACTTTTAAGTTTATTCAAAAAAAGGCTTTTATTCATTTTTTCCAATCGTCCAGAGTGTATGCACGCGTAAACATTGCTGCTTTTCTCCCAGTGTCGCGCGAGCAGACGAAAAAAAAAAAAAAGCGCGGCGGCCTATGTTTTGGCCGTCAGCAACCGGTGCGGATGGGGTAAGTTGCAGCGCCACAAAACGCATAGCAGCAGGCGCCAATACCAGAAAGGGCGTGCTGGCGCTTCGCTCGCTGGGCAGATCAGGAGTACAGAAGGTCACGGCTCAGGCACTGCGCCGGGCTGCGAGTTTACAAAGGCGAGCGGATAGACCCACCCATAATGCACTGCGCCAGGGGCTCTTACAAGGCTCCAGGAAGCTGCGTGCTCATTGGTTCGTGCGTGATGTCGTCAGCAAACATGGCTGCGCCCATGACGATGCCGCAGGCATGTGCCAGGCAAGACCTCGCACGCGCTGTTTTTGCTGAGATGATCTTGATCGAGAAAAACGCCTTCCGAACATTCGGAGGGACGCGTGGAAACTTCAAGTGTGCCGAGAAACGCTGTGAGCGTGCCTCTACCGAAGCTGCACTTCACTGCCGCCGCAACCGCTCGCTTTGAGCAGGGACAGCGGAGGTTTCCAACCGCCCGCCGGTGTATAGAACGGTCACATCTCCATGCGCGCTGACCTCGTCAGCTGCGCTAAAACAGTGACCCCCTTGCAGGGGTAAGGTACCGTTGCTCTCGTTGGCGTGGGGCGGCGAGTGTTGTCGCGTCTGTTCCGCGCTCCGCGCCGAGTGAATGCGACAACCTGGTAGGACCGTTCACCCGAAACAAAAGGTCCCGTTCTCAGCGGCGAATAGCAGAGTGACTGACTGTGCTGTGGGGCCGTGTGAATTACCTTCCCGGAACTGTCAGAATACGAATAGGAGAGCTGCGATTCGGACACTAGCTCCGCTTTGTTTGTTTGTTTGTTTCCCTGGACTGATGGCTCATACCCACTCAGGGGGACTGACCAAGAAAGCGTAGCGCAGTTTTTCTGTGATCATTTTAACTATGTGTAATGAATTTGTAATATAATATGACTAATGTAAGGAAAACCACATAAAAAGAGAGCAAACGAGAAAAAAAAATAGAGAAGTCAAGTCGAGAATTTTTGAGATTTCAGGTGTTGTGATTACCACTCAGCTGCGTTTGCTTCACTTTGCCATTTAGAAATTTTTTTGGGGGGGGAGTAATAAATAATAATTATTTGATTGAAGATCACAAACGTATACGCTTTGTGGCCTGGATATAATCGCAAACGGCATTGAAAGCATCCCTGTGGCAATGTCCCAAAACTGAGGCATCATAGCTTAGTGAAGTTTCCACCGTCACTCTAACGCCTATTTTCAGAAATGGAATAACTAGTAACCTTTTTCGAAGTATAGCATATCGGCGACAATACAAAAAAATAATGTTCTAGTGATTACATTTCTCCGCAGAATGCGCAGAGGGGTGACGTCTGACTAACTCTGTGTAGATAGAGGTTTAGGTGGGGGGGGGGGGGGCACGACATTGAAATTTGTAATTAAAATTTTGAGCATTCTGGACTGGCTCTAGTGGGGTAGCCAGGAAACTTGAGGTAGTTATATTCTGTCCATGTGTTACTTTTGCTATCGTATCAGTGGAGAGTGCCGATTTTCGATATCTTATTGCTGTAATATTTTCAACATCTGGCAGTATGAATAAAACTGGGCCATCAAGTGCGGCTCGTGCTAAGGAATCAGCCAATTCATTTAATCTTAATCCACAGTGTCCTGGAACTCATAGTAACCTCAGAAGTCTCAACTGCGGGGGTACTAATGTTTTGAATGTCTTTAGAATTCGAGAGATCTCTGAAGCTGTCAGAGCTGCACAAACTGAAAGAGAATCCGTCATTATGACTGCGTTCTTCTGATTTGACGGAAGTTTTTGAAGAGCTAAAATAATCGCCACGAGCTCCACTTCAAAAACTGGAGTAAAATCAGGCAGTCTCACTGAAAAGGACCAGTCAAGCGAATCAGAGGCAATGCCTACACCTGCCTTTTGATTATTTACTGAAGCATCTGTGGCTATTATAATTTTAGTTTCTGTGTGCTCCAAGTAATCTAATAATATGTTATTTAAAATTTTGAGAGATTGTAACTTGGTGTTTTGGGGGAATATATCATCATACTCAATTATAACATGACAATTCGAGTCATTAGCCTCAATTACATTTCTAATGTTCACATTTATACATTGTAGATTCTTTTGTACAAACATTATCTGAGGTTTGTGAAACCGTGGCCAATGAGCAAGAAAGAAGGCGTCTGGGTTTGCGGTAAAAGCATATTGAGATCTTCTTGCCGGTAAGCTATAAAATTTTAAAAATGCTCGTACGGTCAAAATGCGAAATCGACAAAGTAGTGTAGGCAGGCGCGCTTCCTGGTTCAGTACGTTGATAGCCACAAACCTAAGGAGTCCCAGAAACATTCGCAGTGCTTCTCGCTCCAACACAACTAGAAGGTTTGTTTTATAAGCAGAGCCACCCGAGAATAGCATGCATCCGAATTACATGATGGGGTGCATGTACATCTTGTACAACATTATTAAGGTGTGCCTCCGTAACCCATATTTCCGGTTACATAGCTTGTGCAGTAAGCCTGAAGCCCGCTGTGCCTTGGTAGTTGTATACTCTACGTGTGGACCCCAGTTAGGTTTTTCATTATAAATGATTCCCAAATATTTTATAGAGTCTACTTGCTGGATGGGTTCCTGTTTATATAGAACTGAAAATGGGTCTGCAAGCGGAAACACTAAGAGCGCACTTTTGTTGACATTTAGTGATAAAGAAATCGACTGCAACCAAATTTCTAACATGTTAATATATCTTTGTAATTTAAGTTGTCGTGAGTAAATATCACAGTCAGCAGCAAATAATGCGATGTCATCAGCATAAATGTAGACAGTAACTTCTTGATCTGTTGAAATTGTGCTTGTTAAAGCAT